ATATACATATTTATTTATTTTATTATTTTTTTTTTCAGCACTCGACATGTTGAGCTCGCTGTTCGCCGTAAGCATGATTGGAATTTTAATAAGTTTCTGTCATAAGATTTATTTTATTGCCAATCTTTCTCTTCTTCAACTACTTTTTTTATTTTTTTGTTAAAAAAAAAGGGGAAAGTTTTGGCAGCGTGCCCAGCGAAACGTATACAAGCTTATGGCACATATCATATCATGAATTATGTGCTCGCCTGAGCATCACAATGTCCAGTCCCGAAATGTAGGCAACACAATATGTAAATATATGAATCTATATACGTTTACACATACATAYATAGTTGTAGATGTACATAAAGATAGGGCCACGCAACAACTGTTTTCCCTCTTTTCAATAATATGCCAGCATATTTAGGCCTACCCTTTTCGTGTCTGCTGTCAGAGCTGTTCACATGCGGCTGCTGTTCTTTGATAAACAAAATAAATAGCTCCTGCCTAGCTGAGAGCTCTGCTATCAGCTGAGCTGGTTTCTAATTTATCGCTGATTGTATGTCATACTTGAGCTGTCAAGTCGCATCGCTGTTCCAGTGCCAACTTCTTCAGCTACTTGAGAATAAATAGATGTATTTGATTTTTTTCGCCCAACCATCCAATCTCATTTGCATCAGCAGGTGAGCAGGTGGGCAAGTGAGCAGGTGGACAAAAAAAAAACAAAGAAGTCATATACACACACACACGTTTCCATTAAGTCATAAATAAATATGTACTGCCAGTCGCACGTGTTCAGTTTTCTGTGCGCAGTTTTTTTTTTATGAATATACTCATGCCACAGCATATCGAATATCAAATGAATATATATTATGTCATCTGACTTTTTCGCGCTGCTGAGTTTTGATGGCTGCAGGTGAAAGTTCTTTGAAGCGTTTGTTGATAAACTTTTATTTTATGTGAACGGAAACTGATTTACAAATATTAATAAATTAATTTTTAATTGAATTTATGTTTAAAGTATACAAATTTAAGCATTAATTTGTAAATTTATTTTTATTGTATGTGAATAAGTTTTGATTTATAAAGATTAATAAAACAATAATTATAT